TCCCATTCTTCTTTCCTTTGTTTTTCTTTTTGCTGCCGCGATCCCTTATTTAATTTCCTACTCCTAGAGGCTGAAAAAGGTGAGCTACTTTTGCTGCTACTAGGGGTTTTTTGTTTATTTATGCTTATAAGTGAATGAATTTTTGCTTACCGTTGTCTGTTCTTCGCACCAGGACCCACACGCGCGCAGTGAAACACACTATTTAGCTCGTCCGGACGCCCCACCCTTCTTCATTTTCTGGTTTCATTCACGTCCAGCCCCCTTTTTAACGTTTTTTCGAAGCCTTTTTTCACTATGGAAGCACCGATGCACGCAGTTTCTTCACCTCAGTCGCACTAGTTTCGATCTTGTCTTTCGTTTTTCAGCATAATCTGGATTACCCAAAATTATGTGAACGGTGCCTTTAAAAAACCGTAGGTAAGGGACGCAAAGGTTTGAGCGAGACAGTTATAAGAATCGATGTTGCAAACCCACACCCAATCGAGAAATGACTAGCATGCCATGAGCGAGCAGCAAGTTGCAGTAAATTCACATAATTTTTCTGCTTGTAGGTTGTTAGAATGCATAAAAGACGAGTAGAAAGAGAAAATGACCATCATTTTTTAGCAATGGCCGACTTTGCCAACTTATTTCATCTGGTCTATCGGTTGATTCCATTGACTCAAAGCAGTCGCGCAATACTTTGCTGAACTGGGCATCGGATTTCTCAACAGTAGATATTGTCAGGTGAGAATTATGCAGCCATTTTACTTTATTCGTTTTGGTGTTGTTTGTGAATATTTGATATACTGCTGATAAGAGAAACTGATTGCAACTGATGTGGATCGACAGTGAGGCTTACTATGAAAGAACCACTGAGTCCGTTGCTTGTTTCATGCAATAATGAAGACTTGACTTTCTAATGGGTCGATGGTTGGAGAAGGGACCGGCAACAACTGATATTGGTAGTCTAAATTGAAGACTAGTAGATGCTCTCCGAAGACGGAGCGTTCGTGCAATTCGAAGTGCGCATGGCAGTTGCGCGGTGATTCTAACGTCTCTGGCGCTTATTATTGGGGCATAAACTTGAAGTAGAGTAAGTTAGTAGGATGAGCTGACCATACTAATATACTCTACTTCAAGTTTGAACCTAAATAATAGGCACCAGAGTCGTTCGACTCGCCACGAATTTCGTCGAGCAATTTGATGCGCGCAGTTCGAATCGCACGAATGTACCCATACACATCCTCCCTTGTCAGGCGGCAGTTCTGCCTTGTTATTTCAGTTTGTTACGTAGATTACAGTTCGTGAAGGCTGATAAGCGCCTTAGAAGATACAAGAGATTCTTAGTTTATAACCCTTTTTGCATTTGCGATAGTGTTAACACTCTAGCATGTTCCGAAGGGTAAGTCGGATGGTAGAGTAGGTTAACAGTGAGTGACAGTAACAGTGACAAGAGTTATTAATTAGGTTTATTGCTTGCTGTTTTGTTATGACCACTACACATCAACATTGGTGTAGTTGCATAAAGCGACTTTGATCGCGTGCTGTGCAGCAACAGGCTATGATATCTGTTGTTTTTCTTTAGTTCTTAGCATGCCTAAAATACACATCAGAATCACTACTAACACAGATTAGGCCTTCAATAAGTGAAAATCATCAAAAGCTGAACTTCTTTTGCAGAACTCTGTGTGACGGTGGTGCGAATGTAAATCTCCCTAATGCTAAGGGCGAAACTCCCCTTTTCACAGCTGTTCGTCGCGGTGATGAGCAAATTGTACGACAGCTTCTTGCTTCTGGCGCAGATCCGTCCAAGAAAACTGATAAGGTAAGAGTTCTAGATTTAGCTAGGTCAGTGAAGTCTATGGATTGGATGATAAAAAGGATAAAGTCTTGGGGCGTTAATCAATCCCATCTGAAGGAGCGCCCACGCATTCGGCTTCCATTCAAAAAAGTAGTGGCGTAATAAATCGTATGCGGCTTATACAATAACTTACGTTGGCCAGCCGATGTACAAGTCAGTGCTTTTATCTCTCAGACGAGTCTGGTACCAATCAACCGACCTCGGAGGGATGGAAGACTTGGCTGGCCTAGACGGATATCCAGGGTTCGAACCTGTGATCATTCGTATGTGGTGTGCGTCGCTTGCCACTACACTATCTCCGCCCGATTGGAAGATATGTTGTTCAACATAGCAGTACAGGACGACACTGAAGGAAGAAACTCTTTGCAATTAACCATATAGGAGGAATCGACAAGATCGGATTTGCAGACCGATAGTCCAAATACGGGTTGGAGTCCGTCCAAAGTCGAAGTTTTGCCTACAAATCGCCATCCTTGTTAGACTTTCGTATCGCGTACTGCGACGATATAACAGCAGTTAGGAAAACAGGTCAAAACAAGTTCTAACGAGAAAAAGCTCCTGCCTACCGCTTCGATGCTGCTATTAGCTGAGCGGCTCGCCACGCTGTACGTGTGAGTGTGTCGATACTCTATTGCATGTAAGCCATTGAGAAGGCGAGGGCAAGCTGGGTCTCGGTAGTGTAAGGGATAAGAGCACGGCCCCCGGAAAGCGCAAGTACGGGTTCGAGTCCCGTCCAAGGCCGAATTTTCCTTCAGTTTTGCATTAGGAGCCGAAACAAAATATATACTTCCGTCCGATTCTGCTTTTCTTGATTTTGGTTTAGTTTTCTGTATTGCAGGGAGAGGACGCTTTTTCAATCGCTTCAGCTAAAGGAGGAGTACTTTTACCTCTACTCAGTATGGACAAGTGAGCAGTTTCATTTTTTTTATATAAGGTTCTTGATGAGTGCAGACAACTCTTTCTATATATGTAATATTTATTATATTTGTGAAAAATTGAAAAAGGAAAAAAAGAAAAGGAAAACTAATTCAGTTCGGTCATCTGTAAGTTGATTAAACTTATGAAACGACTCTCCGAGTGGTAATGAAGCAACGACCTGTGACGATTTCATTCAATTTCTCATTGTGAAAAACTTCTTTGTTCCAACGAGTTGCGCTGGATTACAACACCTATTTGTTAAGTGCTGAAAATATCCTTCTTTGTATGTAGGTTTGTTGGGTGTATGAGGAGCGAAGAAATTGTCCTTGTTGGGTAGGGAACGAATGATCGAGCATCAAAGAGGTTGTTGAAGGACATTGAATCACCATAGAAAGGTTTAGTTTTTGAGGGGAAGTGTTCGCAGACCCCCATGGTTCCCTCAAAACCTGAGGCGTCATGTGTGTCCATCCATCAGTTGCCAGTACTACAACCTGATCTCAAATTCACTTCTCTTCTACCATCTTTTCTATTTTCGCTAAAGTAAAGAGAGAACCGAGTGGGTAAGACACTAGAAAGCATCGATTGGTGCGTTTTTTTTTGGGCTTTTTCAAGGACTTGTTATATTAGAATAGAAGCGAATCTCCTTTATTAAATTGCCTATTATTACAATAACGATTCTCTTCTCTAACACTCCTTTGATATGGGAGCAAACGAAATTGTCCCTATCAATGAGCATTTCATATAGACCGTTCTTGCCTCTGTAGCAAAGAAAAGTTCTTCATAATTCGAAATGAAGCTCAGGAAGTTTACGCCCCTGTACATTCCATTGTGCGGCTAAATTGTTGGCTTTTATTTGGGGTGCCTTGATAGTTGGTAAGTTTTACGACGTAGTAGACATTCTGTCATAAATTTCCCACTTCTCTCTCCTATTATAGTTTGTGTATCAGGGTTGGCAGCAGGCAGGTTAAACAGCCACGATTTTTTTTCATTTTGATGCAATCGATCTAGCAAGACTTCTTTCACCATTCTATCGCTTAAAGATTGGCAAGAACTGTACGCCGAACTCAGTCGATCGAATCTGTGGATTATGATCGCGCTTCAATCGTATCTTCAGAAGCTATCTCCTCGCAGCTTTTTGCAGATAAGTAAGCCTTTGCTGTGTACCTTACGGAATTGTGTAAGAGAAGATCTGTAGTTGTTTTCAGGGCTGAGAAATATCCAGAAGGTAAACCGGAGTCATGGACTGACTTGATATGGCCGCAGCCGAAGTTGATTCGAGTATATGAAACTAGTAAAGGATTCTCTTTCCCGAAAGACAACAGGTCGTATTTCATATCGTGCTTTGTGGTTTGTGCTCCAAGCTTCATATAATTTGTACAGATTGAAAATCTACTTCTGTGACGCATCCAGTGGTTGTCCTCGCAGAATGATGCAAGCAATACAAATCAGTGCCCCTTTGCTTTCGAACATTGGGCTTGAACTGGACTACCGCGGTCACAAGGTATTCGGTTACTCATTTCCAACTCTCATGTAGAGGGCACTGTCTGTTAGTTCAAAAGATCACGGCTACTTCTAAACGTGAGGGTCATCTTTCCACTCAGACAGCTGATCACGATCGCTCTTCCCTGGATGGTAAAGTGACATGTGGTATTTTTTCTGATGGACGTCCGTCAGGATCCTATGCACTAAATATCGATTCGCGTGGTGTAGAAATCGTCGGTAGCGACTACTGCGGTATTCGTTATGCCTTCGCGACTTTCGTACAAATCATTCGCCTTCAGAAGTGAGTGGTCTTATGAAAACAAGTCGATCGCCCATTCTTAGTTGTTTTAAATTTCGTCTTTTTTGGGAGTAGCTCTCAGATGTTTTGTTTGGCTTTTCTCAACACTTAGCAACACTCTAGCAACAGTAATGCGTGACAGTTCCAAAGTTCATTATAATAGCTATAATGCTTACGGAACAGGTATAAAATGATGATCATCTATCTAAATTGAATGCATTTAAGAATGACAATTCATCCACCATACATATTTGCCGTTTAGTTTCCAATAATTCTCCACCAACTTACGCGTGATACAAAGTGGTCGAAGGCGAAGGATGGCTTCGTTTTTGACGACGCAGTTTACAATATTTATTTCTGAGATAATACGTGGAGAGATAATATTATTTCTAAACCATATTTTTCGCTGTCTGATCGGAAAACGGCTTAGATGGAGCCCAGTAGGATATCAAAAATGGATCAGAAGTATACCACGCCCAAAAGCGGGAGAGTTAAACGGCTTTGTAGAGGGTACACTTTCCATAAGGAACACCCGGCTGCCGATGCTCATGCTGAAATTTCAAACAACTAGTCCCTAAACTTATCGCAAGCTGTCTTCAAATTGTTTGTATGCATGGAAGTAGCGGTATTAAGGGGTACATGTCATAAAACATTAAGACGAGAGATTATATAAGGTAAACGGTGTTTTCCCCGAGGTGAAAGGAGTTCAACGGTTCAGAACCTTGATATTGAGCAGAATTGATGGACTCTGTAATTCGATGGGTAAAAGAGTACATATGGAGTTTTCATACTCGTGCTGCTGGTAGGCAAAAAGCGTTGGCCTTGACGAAAACGTCAAGATTATATCACGCCATTAGCTTTGCTACTAAGCGTTCCACTTTCGTCCACTTTCGTGGGCAGTGCAAAGCTTCAGTCAAAACAGTCCACCGTTAAAGTGAACTCGTAGCTCCTGCTGTGGTATCTGCAACAGAGTAAGTTGAGAGACGATATCGGTATCACCTGGCTCACTTAGGGGAACCTGATGCTATTCGAAAATCATATCCAATTTCAAATTCCGTTGTACCTGTTATACTTTCTCCCATGCGATCGGGGCATAGTCCATGAAGCCGTATATGAGTTACGACAACACAAAAGCAGGAAAAATCTTTCAAAAATTGAATTTTCGCGATTCATTACGTTATAGGTTTGCATCTCGTCGTGGTAACGAGAATGAAACGGCAAACGCAAGTCAAAGTGGTTTCGTAAATGGATGGTTGCAGTCGAGTGACTCTGCGGCGAGTGGCGGTGACGTTGCGAGTGGTGATGTAAATAAGACATCCTCACGAGATTCAGAGCTGCCTGGTTTATCGAAAAGTAACAACCTTAAAGTTCCTTTTTTCGTGATACCCTATTTTAGGAGTCCTTGTTTTAGGCGACACTATTCCTTGCCTGACCGTGCGTGATCACCCTGATCGTCCGTTCCGAGCTATTTTCCAGGACTTTTCTGGTTGCCGTATTCTAAATACAGAAACGGTATTCAGTGACTTTTATCATTTCCTTTTCTGTTTTAAATTCATTTCTCTTGCAGCTCCTCCAACTTGCTACGCGTTTATCTTATTGTAAAGCCAACTTCCTTTTTGTGAACTTCGAAGTGCGTACAACTGACCGTTATCAGCTACCTTATACGAATCGTGACTTGTTTCATATGATGCAAGTTTGCGAAGAGCTTTTTGTCACGGTAATTTTCCTGGAGTATTACTTTGGGCTTTTTTGTGTCAACCCCGTTCTTTGAATTTGGAAAAAAATGTTTGAAATCCTGGGTTCACATTTCTGATGGAAAAGAGAGGATAATTGTATGATCCACGATAGCCCTTTTGAGTAATTGCTCCTTTGCAGCTCGTACCCTCCCTTGACACACAATCCAACTACATCGAACCAGGTGCAGCTCGCGAAATCATTGAGCACTTCCTAGACGACTTCCCTCTCAGTAAGACTGCACACTTCGGACCCAATCTCTCAAGTATACTTTTTGCGCACAAAAATGGTAAGTAATCGGATGCGAAAAACATTTCGAGAACTCTTCTTTTGATTTCTATCTTCACTTTTTAAGTGCTTGCCGCCATACAACGCCGTGTGCCGAGAATATTCCTTTCATCGCATGTTGATGAGAAGAATTCCACTCTGGTGAGACTGCCAAACATCTTTTTTTTTTTGCTCATTTGACCCTGCTTTTCTTTTATTTTATTCTTTATTCATTAAAAAAACATGCAACTGTTGTGCAATGTGCTTATCAGCAAAGTGTTTAGTTGTCTTCGGTACCTTCCTACGTCACGTTGTGCATTGAAGGTTGTTTTCCATTTGAAGCAGAAGCATTACTGTCGCCCAGAGTTTCCATTGTGCTGAAGTTTTCAACAGGTATTTCAGTTAGTTACCTACCTCACTGGTACTTTGCGCTGAAAAGTTTCTTCTCAGGAGATGACGGTTACTTATGTGCTGCTCCAGATTCCACTGCGAAAAAAGCTCTGTTGGCAGCTCGTTTAGGAGAAAAATGCAATGTTTTAGGTGACGATGATATTTTAAAATTTTGTTTTTGCAGAGCACGTGTACTAATCCCTTCGAAAACGGGAACGTTCCATAAGTTTTCCTTGATAGGAGGCTAACTCATAGTTATTCCTGAAATCGTCCTTTCTCCATTACACACGTGCTCATTCGCTACTTTGTTTTCGATAGCAAATTTGGAAGTCCTCATTGATGCTTAACTCGTTCGTTTGATATGTATCAAAATGCTTTTGCTTCATACAACTCGATTTATTATACAGCAGGTTCACTTTGATGGCATGCTTACATATCTCATATGTTAGGTACGATGGTTTGTGATCTTTCCACTGGTTGTGAAGCGATGCCGCCTTCATTATCATACATGTCGTTGCTGGCATCATTGGGTGTAGCCTGGAACGGGTCCTGCGATATGAAGAAGTTTGCTTTTCTACAACCCGCAATAGCCGCTCATCATTTGCTTATGGATGGGTAGGCACATCATTTTAGCGTTTAATGTTATTTCTTGAGAAGTGACTGCCGAAGGAGTTGGTTACATGAATAAATTCAAGTAGATCTTGCAAAATTAGCGAGTTACAGGGGATATGACTGCTTTAGGGATATGACTGCTTTATTCGAGCAAGCAGCTACATTAGGGCGCGTAGAACACGAGCTCACAAAGTTTGCTTACGGAATATGGCGACCACCTCTCGGCAACTCGACTATGTCTGAAGAAGGAGATGCTCAAGTGTGTGGTTTTTCGGCTAATTGTTGCGACTTTGGATTACATTTTAGTTCCAGATTAGTGGTTTTGGACTCAACAAAAAGATGCCGATTTCGGTATTTGTGGAAATGATCTTGAATCCTGAAAATCTCAATCTCGAACGTCTTACACCAATTATATTCAAGGTACTTGTTGATGCTATTTGATCATTTCTACGGTTGATGTGTGATCTTTTGTGCTTTTAGAAAGCTAGAATTGAATTACGGCGCAGCTTAATGGCTCTTGATGCTGCTCGGAAGACATTGCCTTATAACTTTGAGTTGGCCTTGGTCCTGGCTGAGATTAAGTTGGTTACTGAGTTGATGGTGCTGACAAGCAGGTAAACCAGTCGCTTGCATTGTTTTCCAGACGGAATTCATAAGTTTTGGCATTTTCAGACTGGGACAAGCCTTATGCATGCATGGGTCTAAGCCTGCACAAGGAAAGAATCGCGACGAGGTGTTCCATTATTCGCCGGGACGAGTAGGAGTTGCCCACCTACCGCTGACTGTGCGAACGGATCTTGCAAATAGGTTGAGTTTTTGATATTGTTGTCTTTTTTCTTTTGTTACTTGCGTGACTAATTACAAGTGACCATCCTTTCACTTTGTAGCTTGCTTGAAATCCGCACTCAGTTTCAACATGTGTGGTTATCACGGTCGATTCCAAGCACGCTGCCTAATGCGTTGAAAATGTTTGACAATTTGTTCCGGTGAGTTCTCTTAAATAGTTTCACATGTTAGGCGTTTTATACATTTGCTTTTATAGAGCTCTTCTACCACCGGATCTACAGGAAGTGGGCAAACAGTTACTTTAATGGGGAACTTTTGAAAAAATCATTGTGTTTAACCATTCTTCGTTCCGGATTTTACGTTCCTATTCTCGTTTTCCATGGACCATACATCCGTTGCATACATATTATATTCAGCTGAATGCATTATGCTCTAGTATTTATTGGTAGGCAACATTGTATGATTGTTATGAAATAACTACTCCTTGGAGAAATAGGCAGGATGCAGTATGTAGAAAGCGTAGTCGTCGTTGTGCGCTTATAGTGCCTTTCAGAGTTTTAATGAATTTTCTGTGATCTGTCGCTTTTGACACGTGCCTGTGTAATATCAAGTCATTTAGTGATTTATTGTTAATTCGTCTAAGTCTGTGATACGTGGAGTTGGGCTGGGAAGTATAGCCGTTTTTGTCAATAAATTTCTGCATGTGCACTCTTCTTGTGAAGAAATATGACTTGGAGTGTCACAATTATTTATGAATCATGTTGATGGCTTCTAAGACTTAATAATGCTTATACAGATGTCTTTCGAACAGATGAGGCAACATTTACACAATGCAATACAAGGTGTTAACAGGTGAACGTCTTCTATATTCGTTGTTAAGTAACGAGTGTTTCTGTGTTTCACTGGTGGTATTCCTTTTCTCGAGATATTCTGGCGTACCGGAGAAGGCATATTTTCAGGATGGTGAAGGGGGGGGGGGGGGGGGGAGGTGATACTTTCGTGCGCCCGGAGATGCGCGCCGGCAGATTACACGATGAAATTCGTGGCGATTTGAACCACTTTAGCACCTCGTCTGTTATTGGGGCCCGAGTTTGAGGTAGAGTAGATTAGTAGTATCAGCTAATCCTACTAATCTAGTCCAAATTTAGACTTCAGCAAGAGGCGTCAGAGTCGTCAAAATCGCCATGAATCTCGCCGCGCAATTTGCCGCGCGCATCTCCGGACGCACGAATTTACCCGTACCCCCATTTTCAATGCTGGAAAAAAATACTGTCGTTGGATTATGCACTAAATCTGTCAGTTCCATCTCATATTGAAGTGTTTCTCTGAAATGGGGCATGGGATAACCAATCAATGCTATTCCAGTGCCGCGTGCCTCCTTTTTTATAGACAAAATCATAGCCGGGTGGCTGTTGCTTTATCTCTGATCCGCTTACGGCGCTTTTGTCTCTTAAGTACGATTTGTTTTCTCTGCTTTTCATCGGGCCGAAGTTAAAGCTAGATGGCATGGTTGGCCATATAACATTGATGTGCTGTCGGTGCTCGTGCCGGTTTATACCAAATGGGCATTGTTGCCGCAGTAGCAAACGAACAGTATGCGGCATTAATTCGGAGACAAACGATGGTCTCCATTTTCCGTGTTGATGAGTCGACGCATAGTAAGACAAGCGGCATTTATAACTTCCTTCGGTTGATGGTGCTGGAATAGTTAGCGCAATGATGGTTGCCATTTCCAACCCGTGAAGCGTCACCGCCACTGATTAACTTCAAACTCGGACATCCGCATCCGTTCAATGAGCCGTAATTTTCACAACTCCGAGGGCAATATTAACATCGGAAGATTGACGTTACTAAATAGACAACATGATTTTTATAGTGGTCTGCTCATCTGGTTCCTCAAAATTTCGCTTGCCGGTCAGCCTTGTGAGTTGGAAGTGAAAATTTTGGAAATGATGAATTTGAATCATTTTGAATACAGTTGTTTTTTCGCAGAAAAAGACTCCAAAATTAAAACCAGTCGAAATATCACAGATTTCTTTAACGCTCTTTCGTATGCGTCTATTGTCTGAATCTGCTTTTATAAATCTGCTCATTCTTTATGCTTTCGGGTTACTAGAGCACCCTCACAATTGACAACTTTAATTGGTGTACGAATCTAATCAGCGATGATTAAGGTATAATCCTGAGAATGTCGGTGATCTGGCTCGCTGTGTTCAAGCAATGGCTACGGAAAACGAATACGACCGGGACATTGTCCTTACGATACTCAAATTATACCAACTTAATCCGGACAAGCAAGTTTCCACTCCTATTTTTTGCACGCCTAAAACCCCTTTATGCATCTACTGTAATTTGTTGAAGATATGATGAGAGCATTGTCCGGCTGGTTCTTCTTAAAACATTGATGGTTCTGCCAGGTAGCGACTTTGCACTCGCCAAATGTCTCATCGATTCCAACCGCTTAGGATCACAGGTTTATTGCATATTTCTTTTTTCATCGCCAACATATCGAAATTGTAAAAAGTGATCTTCTCGTGGATGAGTAACTTTGTCAGCATACCTGAACAAGCACCATAGATAGTATTCAATACAAAAAATCCCCGTAGTATCACGAGTGTGATATTGAGAACCGTTAAGGAGCTGAAACGAGTTCTAGACCTTGGAAGTGTACTCGAAGCCTGTGATTTCGCCGTGTTCTGGTCGCTTATGAAAGGAGAATACAAGGTTGTTACTTGGCTTTCTGATTTCTCACCTTTTTTTTCAATGACTACTTTTTAGCCAAGCACGGATATTTCTGAGCCCTTCAAAATTCCGCAAGAAGTGCCGCGTATGATAAAAGCAGTTGCTGGTTTCGAAGAAGCTATTCGTATTTGTACGTTGTGATCTTGTTTCCGTTCAGACGGAAACCAGTTCAATTTCCTTTTTATAGATGCGTGCAGAGTTATTAGCGTAACGTTCCAAAACATCGAGAAGTCGGTTCTGAGTCGTTTACTAGGCGGTGCCTCAGGTGATAATGATTTACTTTGGTTCCTGTTTGGGCCATGAGGCCTGCGAATGTTATTGAATGTATTTATTCGTTTTAGACAAGCAAGTTGCTGAGTACGCGAAAAGGTTTGGATGGGAAGAAAAACCGGATGGTGTTTATTTTATTGCCAATCATGAAGCGACGATTCGTACAAGGAATATCGATGAGAAGTTGCAGTTTACAAGTAAATCCTTTACTTTCGTTCGTTTTCCTGTTGAATTCGCGATCCGAATATTGGACATCTCTCAGCCCTTTTGTGGTGAAAGGCTTAGGTTAACAGTTACCCATTTTCTTTGGGGCAATCCATCGTTGCCGAACTGTAACTCCTATTTTCGTAGTCCCACCTCATTAACCAGACATCAGCGCTGTTGAAACCAAAAAAAAACAAGGATTTGTGTTGATAATGTCAATTACCTTATTAATTTATGCGCTTTGTTACAAATCATAAGGTAGCGTTCAAGGTTCACATGGCACACTTACCTTTTCATAGTTGCCAATCATTTTCTTACCCTCTGCCGTTACTTAAAGGCACGGTTCACGATAAAAAAGGTTACTGACTCAAACCCGCACTTGTCCTTTCCGGGGACCGTGCTCCTGTGATCGGTAGTGTAAGGGATAAGTGATGTGCGTTGTACGTGTGAGTGCTGATAAGCTATGGCATATAAGCCATTAAGAAGGCGAGGGCAAGCGGGGTCTCGCTAGTGTAAGGGATAAGAGCACGGTCCCCGGAAAAGACAAGTACGGGTTCGAGTCCCGTCCGAGACTGGAGTTTTGCCCACAAATTGCCAACCTTGTGGGACCTTCGCTTCGCGTACTGCGGCGTTAAAACAGNTAGGAATACTCAGCGTCCCCCCCCCATGGGTGGTCGAAGGGACCCCCTCGCTCCCACAATATCGGCGCTTAGGGCATAGTGGAAGCCCCGTTGCTGCCGTAGTTCGCTTTCTCGCCCCTCGATCGGTGTCACGTTAGACGAGTGTCGTGACAATACAGATTGCTATTATACGTTCTAGGGCCCAGGCAGAATCAGCTAATCGCCGAGTGATGAGGCGATGTTTTTCTCCCATTCTTTTTTCCTCTGTTTTTCTTTTTGCTGCCGCGATCCCTTATTTAATTTCCTACTCCTACAGGCTGAAAAAGGTGAGCTACTTTCGCTGTTACTTGTTTTTTGTTTATTTATGCTTATAAGTGAATGAATTTTTGCTTACCATTGTCTGTTATTCGTACCAGGACCCACACGCGCGCAGTGAAACAAACTGTTTAGCTCGTCCGGAGGCCCCACTCTTCTTCATTTTTCTGGTTTCGTTCTCGTCCAGCCCCCTTTTCAACGTTATTTCCAAGCCTTTTTTCGTTTCGGAACACCGATGCACGCAGTTTCTTCACCTCAGTCGCACTAGTTTCAATCTTGTCTTCCATTTTTCATCATAATCTGGAACCCAAAATTATCGTGAACTGTGCCTTTAAGATGTGACGACGGAGGTATGTTCAGATTTAGGTCGATCTAACTCATTCAAGTTACTCCATTGACAACAGCGCGCGGTTCAGATTTTTCCATCGCGTTTGACATTAACGTTTTTACGAGCACGTGTTTGACACGCATGCGAAAATTCCAAAAACAACACGTATAAAGTGGCTGGAGTCGAATACGATGCTGATGACACATTGGGTTTCGACGCAATACTAATCGCATCCGGAAGAAGAAGGAAGGACAGACTCTGACAATGGAAGTATTTCGTCTGGGTGCAGTGATGTCTCACGTCATGACCCTCGGATTTTTAGCGGTCGCTGAGGCTGAATCGAGGAAGTTGTCAGTTGCCAATAACTGTTAGATTTTTTTCGAACTATTTTTGAACGTCGAATTTTGGATCTGATCGCCAAGGAGACCAGGTGTTATGGCACTCAATGCAGAGGATATTTTCGAGAAACCGACACTAATGAAATTGGAGGAATTGTTTTGTTATGTCTGCAAATGGATTGGTCATGTCGCCACATTCACGAGATTACTGGAGTTTGCGACCAGGCTATGGTGGTCATGCCTTGCTTTTGAAATTATGGCGAGAAACAGATTCGAGGAACCGTTGAAGTACCTCCATTTGACGGACAATGAAAACCTCGACGGCGACCGGTTACACAAAATCAAGCGAGTCATGCAACTGTTCAACAAGACAGCGGCCGAAAGTGACTCATTCGGGGAAGAAGTGTGTATTGATGAATCCCTTGTTTCATGGGAGAATCGTTCTCATACAGCACATGCCTGCTAGCGGCACGGTTACATAATCAATTTGTTCAAGTTATGCGTTGAAGATGGCTACACAGTCAGGATAAAAATCTATACCAGGCAAAGATCCATCGGGACACCAACCTCTCGCTGACAAAGTTGTGCTGGAACTAATGGAAGGTTACCTCGATGAAAGGTGCATCGTCCGTACGGATAGTTTCTACCTAGCGTTGAACTAGTCGAGAAGTTAATGTCAATGGGTGGTCAAATTGTTTGAGTTCTCAGGAGGAAGAGAAAAGGTATTTTAGAAGAAATCAAGGAAATGAAGTTGAAGAGAGGCCAACTTGCAAACGGAAGCAGAATGGGATTCTGTGCCCAAATGGAGAGATAAAAGGGACTTGACATGATTTCTAAAAACATGACAGAGCTGTCGGAATGTCTCAGAAACCATAAGTCGTGGATAACTATCTATTAGGTTGATGTATAATTATTGCGGATTGTTTCGCGGCTTTTTTCTCTCGATAGAACTTGAATATTGAGTTCGGGTTTTTTTTTTCTAGAAATGATCTACTTGATTTTCTTTACAAGGATATACTCAAAAAACCATCCGCATATTCGCGAAATTAGGCTTAACTACTCCGAGAAAGATTGGAAATTGGAACAGTCATTCCGCGATCTCATTAACTTTTCGGCGATGGAACAATCAGCCAAAGCCAACCAAGAAGCGGGATCTGCCCCTAAATCTGTCATATTCACCAACAGAAACTTTTATGGATTATCTCGTCAACCGTTCATCGAAAAAATGGCTAGAGAATAGAAGTTACGCCGATTTGGATGACTTGATGGCCGGTGTCAAGGCGTGGATCCCCGTAAGAATCAAAACTTCTTCGCTTTTGGGATCCGACTAACTAATCAATGGGAAGCAGTGCTTGACGTAGATGGAGAATAAGTTCCGGAGAAATTATTTGAATATGTCTTTGCTTAGTATTTCTATAGTTTCTTTAAGTAAAATTTGCTGAAAAAAATCCGCAATAATTATGCATCTACCTAATAGAAGCAGTAGCTTTATTGGGATGTTTCCAAGTGGTGAAAAACGAAGATGGCTTGAATCATCGCAGAAATAAAGGGTTTCGATGACCTGTCCGATCAGATGGCATCCACACGCCATTTCTGCGCAGAACCATGAAGTAGTAGAAGAGGTTTCTCACTCGATTACGCAGCTGTCGTCAACGTTTGGACGTTGTACAAAGATGTGGTCAAGAACATCACACTAAACGTTTCGAAGAAGCGGTTGAATCTCTGCACACTTCAAGTCATCACTGTCACTCCGTGCGACGTATGTTGGAAGAGATACCTGAAGGTTTGAAAGGTTCTGACACGAAGGGTTTTGTGGGGTTCTACGTAGCCATTCCAAAGAACTAAAACCCTCTATGGCATCGACAAAAGCAAAAATGGTCAACACGCGTCGCAGTAGACACAGGAAATTCTATCCCATCGTATTTCAATAAAAAACTAGTTTTGTCGTGTAGGAAATTCCTTGAAGTTATTGTACCTTGTTATAATTTACGAATACTCCTATGATTTGTATGGTTGTTCTGAAATAGAAGTCGTAGTACAGAATTTAGAAGACCTTCACTGAACCGAACCATAGCTCCGATCATTTGCCACGTGGTTGGAGAAGTCTTAATATTTTGTCTATTGAATAAATACAGCAAAAAATTCCAAAAATTGCGCTCTCGCAAAAAAAAAGGAGTAGTGACAAACGTTGACGCGCTTATTCGGTCCCACGTGGTCTGCAAGGCTTGGCTCGCAAGTTGTTGTCAATGATTTAAGAGACAGCTGTCAGCTAATTTTAACATCATTTTGATTTCAGATGTTGCCGACATTCTGAAGAACATGCCTGGTATTCCAGTTTTCGAATCGTAGCCCAATCCTGTTGTTTTATTGATCGTTTGGTTCTCATGTTGTCAATTTTCATTCTGTCGTTGTTATGATTAATGTGTGAAAATTTCCACTTTGATTTTTAGTCTTCTGTTTTAGTCTTGACCAACGTTCCACCGTTAATCAGTTCATACAATTTTAAGATTGTGAATGTAACTTTTGTTGTTGGACTCAGATCAGATTGCTATTTCTTTCAGAGCAGCCAGACGATTATCTCTATTTCCGTAACGTTTCCGGATAAACGCCAATAAGTTTTCCATTTACAGTTCGAACGGGAACTCTATAAACTATAAATTGAGCAGACAATATTTAGTGGAAGATTCGCAAGGCCGAAAAAAACATTTAGTTTCACATATAAAGAATCGTGTTGAAAAGAGACGCTAAATTTTGTGCTGAATCAGGATAATGAGGCTTCATTTGTCTACATCATTCTGTCTCCAGAATTTCTAAGTATCCAGTAGCGGTGCATGATGGTAAAAGTTCGCTGTGGTATGGAGCAGTAAGGTGGTCGCTCTCATCAGCGGGCGCATAGAGGGTGACGATGTGTGTACTTCTACTTCACGTTCGCCCCTAGAATGGCCTAGAATTTAGGTGGAAGCAGGTTACCTTTAGAAGATTATTCGGGTGGAGAATAATGCGAAAAACCGACATCTGGGCGCAACCAAATACTAATTAGTTGGAAAAACCCGAGGGTTATTGTCCATTCATTTTCATTTCGAGTAGAAATCAACATAAATGGAGAAGATATTCGAAATTAGGAGAGTTTCGGACAAAAATAGTCTCCCAAATGATTTCAGTTGTCACAGTATCGACTGAAAGTCGACTTTTGTGCACAACAAAGGAAAACACAATAGTAGTCAAAGGCTACACTATATTTCGCAGCGGAACTGGTTGTATAAACTGAAAAGACGCACATAAGAAAGTAGTACCCCGTCGTAGTAACGCGGACTGGTAAGATTCCACGCTCAAAAGTCTGGAGGTCACGACGGCTGTGCACCATGATGCCTTCCCATACTATAACACCTCATAACACCTCAACCACAAGAACCATCACATTTGACAATAATTCTGGGAGAATTGTGATTCTATCCTCGTCCCCGCCATATGAGGGTGCGTTCAGAATCACGGCTCAGAACGAAACTTCTCTCTTCCGAAAAGAGCACACAGCTCCAATCCTAACCGGTCTCGCCGATGCGTGATGGTCAAAGGAACACAATGTAGCGGTCGTAGGGCGGAGAGAACGTTACCGCGCAGTCGTCGTGCCACAGTAGTGCGTCAGATGGCTTGCCTTGAAGTCCTGGTAACGTCATTGCAATCACAGGAGCTGATCGACGTGGACCTTTTCCTGCCTGCTGCGTAAAGTAGCCTCCTAGTGGTCATTCCTTGAGCAGTTAACTACTCCGAGGGATGACTCGTGCCTGCCTCCTCTCCTTTGAGCAGTAGCACCGACCGGCACGTCAAACAACGCTACGGGCGATACTGAGCTTCTGAGCTACACTCTCATGGTTCAACCTTCTTCGAGTTTCCCAATGATCCTTCTTCGTGTGGATTCATCCAGTGATCTCTGCGGGACATGGTACTAAAAGATACCACCACATACTGTGTAGCTATCGCTAATTAACATGAACTTTTCCATATCTATCAGCTGCCTCGATTTGCGCTGGCTGCCATATTTCGCGCCTTATTTGAACATTTCTTCTACGACGGGAAGTCCAGCTTTCTGTGATTAGCAGCTCCCACACTTGAATTCATTTCCACCCGGTCCTCGAAGTTCTATGTGGGGGACGGAACATTCACCCATAACTGGATGGACGCGGCAAACCGTGCGGCGAAATTCGTGGTGATTAAAACGACTCTGGCGCCCATCACTAGGGCACAAATTCGAGGTGGGATATATAAATAGCATCGGTTAGCCCTACTACCCAATCTACTTGAAACCCGTGCCCCAGAGGTAGGCGCTAAAGCCATTTCAAACAGCACGAATTTTGCCGCGCCATCCATTTCTGGGTGGATGTACTCATACCCGTTTTATGTTACGTCCATCTCGTCATTAAGTTTTGCACACCAGTGTGTGTCAGCAAAGTTAAGTGTAATTCGCACAAAATTATTGCACTAATTCGCCTATGGAGACGTACAACGTTTTAGGCATTGCCGCGAAAGACTCATCCGTCGCATAATGCGAAAGATGAAATGTTCTAGTGAGTAAGTAATCTATTTATTGAAGTGACTGCTTTCATGAAGTACTGTTGGGCATCAACGTTTGCATTCCAGAATCCACTGATCGCGTGTGACGCCACTAGGAGCTGTGCCTTTGAATTTGTGACACGGTATTTTTGTATCTGCATTTTCGTATGAATAGAATCTGTGCAAGTTGATTTGTTTTTTTTTCTGCTTTGCTTTTCCCAACGTCAGTACTGTTGGCAATCCTTGAACTGTGTGGTTGTGTATTCGTAACAGTACGTTAAGCATAGTCGTACTGGTGCGGACGACCGAGAAATTCCTGGTTGCAACCAAAAGTAGGTTGTCGTAAACTCTCACACTATTCGCAACACGGCAGGTCATTCCGGTCATAAAATGAAGCCATAAAATAGGTAGTTTTTGGAATGACCCCTTTCAAAACCGATTTTTCTAGAACATTCATTCCTGAACATTCATTTTGTAGCTGTAGTCTTGTTCAACAATAATAGAACTGTTTCATTTCTGATACCCGTAAACATGGAAGAACCCACTCAACTACACCTGGCAATTTGTAAAGAGTACAAAAGAGGAACACGATAGAATACCTTTTCGACTGTGGAGAATGTTAAAATGAGCGGGGAAAGCATACAGGAGGGATTTCAGTGCGGTAAACGTATATACTGTGGCGGTCGAGAGTTCAACAAATAGTAAAAAATAGTGGTAAAACTAGACGAGGGTGGACAAAATCGTCTAATGGTTGCCAATGTTGCCAAGTACTTTCAAATCATCCGGAGCTCGTACCACCCATTCTGGCCAACCACCAAAGTAGATGCGAGCATCGTAGTCGAGACGTTTCAAGGACCACCAAATCAACGATGATCGCAATGATGTGGAGCAGTATACAACCTAAAATGATTTTTTCTTGGAAATCAACTAGACCAAGCAGGCTTGACTCGAATTTGAGTAACATGCAATTTCATGGAATGCTTTAGAATCAATTACTCTTGGTCCTTCCTATCTCCAAGCGATTATTTAATAAGTTAAATCTCCCAAAAATATGTGGGTGACGCAAGTTTCTTGTAAGCTCAACGGGAGCAGTGCTGTACAAACATGCAAAAGGAAGCGAGCGCTCTTATATTCAACTTTTGATAATAAAGGATGAAAGATAAAGTTTCTTGGCGACTGGTCAGAAGAGTGGTAGCAGGCTGGGAATCCTTAGCAGTAACAGATCCTCAACAATATCGTATGACACTAAGGCAACCGCTCGGGAAGATATCTCAATCACGTTTGATTGACTTTTGAAAGGTTTGTGTTATCGCAAAATGAAGTGATGGCTACTCACCACAGGTTTGCTTCGTGAAAGACCAGCTGCAAGGAAAACTTGCTGGATTTCGCTCGTGGATCGCCATTTGTTCGATTTCCAGTCATACATTGCATCGACTGGAATATTCACCGCTCCACGAATGTGTCCGTAGAGAGCTCCAGAGGCTTCGCCATTGTATTCCTGAACAGCTCCTTCAGTCGCGTCTTGCAAACTGCGAATGCTGGTGCTTCTCTTTCTAGTGCGTGCTAGTGCGTTATGAAGCAAATGGTTGAAAATTTTTGGTAACCTCTTTAGTCTGGGCGTCGACCACATCGAATGTGCGCAGCTCTGTGTTAAGAAGAACATCATCAAATGTAATCACCAAGGATTGGTTCCATGATGAGAGTAAATTGCCTGAATGGGAGTTTTCTCGGTCAGAAATGTATACCATTACTCCAAAAATAGGTAAGTATTACTCATGTCAGGCCTACCTTGTGCTCTATCTAAATCATCGCCGCTGTCAGTACGGTACTGTGACGATCTTGCTTGTTGAGCTTTCCATGCGAGAAAGCCACCACTGAGTATCGAGACTCTGCGATGTCCGAACAACTGAAAATATACTCCATTCCCGAAGTAGCAGGAGTACTTTAGGACAAACCTTGAATATCCACGCCGCATATGTACTCCAGATCATCTGACCACGGTCGTAAATGACTACATGGCAATCGTTGTCCACTCCGAGCGATCTCATATATCTAGAATGCATGACTATTATTTTTTTCTTCAATTCTCGATGACTAAAGAGTAGCTTTAAGGTCAAGGGAATTGATTATTGAAATTTTATAAATGAACGCTTTGCAAATGCTCTCATTACTTCCTGACTGAGCAGGACGTCGAGGGCGAGCCAGTGTGTGTCAGACGCTTCTCGACCGTAGCGAATGGCGACATCGACAAGCTTCATTATTGCTTAGGATATGAAGTAGATGTATATGAAAATCCGCACAGGAAATCGCAATGCCTACTAGAGGACGTAAGGCTACAGCCTGCCATAGAGCGAGGCGCTCAAATCAAGAAAGTCATGAGCTCATTGTTCCTCTGCTCAATGATGCTTTACTATGAGATCCTAATGGAGTATCCTGCGGTAAACGCAGGAGTAGTCTGTTCACAACCGAGAGAAATGGTGTTTCAAGCCTCCATTTCAAACCTATAACAAAGAAATTTTTGGTTGTGATGAAAAATGCTCCATCACACCTGCATAGACTTCGATGGATGAGCTGGAAGGTTTGGCATATTATGACTAACCCACTAACCCATGTTTACCTGACCTCAACTCATATGGCTGCCATAATTTCACAAGACCACAGGCCTGCTTTAACGGCAAAAAAGTCAACATCGCCAGGGAATCAAGAAGGTAGTAGATGCATGGATAGCGTTGCGCCTCTCGTTTTTTTGGAGGAATCACATCAGTGCCATGTCTGGTTGATGGAAAGACATTCTGACTAAGAAGTGCCACTACTTTGATCACTGATCTAACTTCAAAGCGGTAGTTATTTTATGTTGGAAAATCCGACTGAACTCTTTCGAAAGTTTTCGAACACTCTCACACGAGGTAAGGTATGAAATCAAAGCGGAAGAAGTGGTAGTAAAAAATCGGTTTCACGTTTCATACTGTATGATGCTATTGTCTTCTGATGGGTCTGGGCTTTGGAAGAGATCTTTTTTGCGCCGCTCTCTGAAGATCTTATTAGCAAAGTATCTACCCTTTTGACTCGATATTTTTGTTAACTGCTTTATTTCGCTGCAGTACGCGCTTCGAAAGTCTTACAAGGTTGGCGATTTATGGACAAAACTTTAGTCTCGTACAAGACTCGAACCCGTACTTGTGCTTTCCGGGCACCGTGCTCTATTCCTTACTTTACCGAGACACCGCTTGCCCTCTCCTTCTTATCTATCCTTTCTCCATCACTCAATTCTGTAGCATGACAAAAATTTCGCCATGCATGAAGCGCCTCGAGCCTATAGTTCCTTTTTCTAGAACAATCAGAGTGAATGATGAAACCTACCTTCGTTAAAGCTTGGGAAAGATTACCTCTGGAATTGAAGTGGGTGAACAGGCACTCCAGAATGACTGAGATTTGAATGGTAGAGCAGACGTGCCGTTTCGATGTGTTCGGTGATATATTGTTCCCTGAAATCTTGACCCTTCCACAATTGAGCTCATCAGTGCTAGCGAAAATAATTCAAGCGCATTTCCAACAGTTTTCCGTCCCAAGCAGAAGATTTTATTTAAGTGATGCAGTCAAATGTTCAACAGGTTCAAGACGAGTTCTCGTTAGGCGCATCAGAGCATTTGCAAGAGAAAATCTAACAAATGAATGGCACCAAGATTGCCACCATTCTCTCGGGATGAAATTTTACATTTTGAATTTGGTGATGGCCATTATTATCAACCTTCCTCGAATTCTTTAAGCAAAGAACCCCTTCATATGGGAGCTCCCACGCCCAGAACTAACTCGATCTCTGATGTACGAATTTAACAGCGGAGGCTTACTCTTCCATGTGATCAAATTGAGCATTGTATGTACTTGGGCACTGGATCAGACATTGTGGTGCCGGTGGCACGTCTAATGATTCTGAGGTGCAGCATTCGCCTTTGTAGAATTAAGGACAGAATCTTTGGCATTAATCGGTCTCGTTTTGGAATGCACTCCACATGAGACCCTCATAAAGAATCGTAGTGGTGGATTATAAGCATATTCAGACTTTTCGTAACTTTTGATGACCAGCTGCTAGACAAGCCGGCGCTTTTGGTCTTCCATGCGAGTCCGGTATCAATTAGGCGAAGGAATTGAAGGTTACAAATACTAATTTCAATCAATTTCAATATCTGGAAAAGGTTTATTCAGGGATGATTCAAGGCGTATTCTCATTATCAAGGGAGTTCTAATTTCTTTTCACATTCAAAAGCTAAGATCAGACGATTGTGCCTTAGCAACTCTGATGTTCCCACCAATGACTGACCGTTAGATCCGGAAAAAAAACTTTATCAACTATTTTTTAACATTTGGAAGATAGTAGGTGAACACTACGAGGTGAGTGGCAGGGCAAGGGCGCCATATCACACTTGTATGGTCCGATGATCGAACTCCGGATCGTATTGGCCCAGACTAAGCAGACGTTTCGTCTCTCTGGGGTTCATTAATTGGTACAAATTTCGTTTGGAGACAAAAGCCCTGACTTGTGCATCGGCTGGACACTGAAGGTCTTTGTATCGGCCATATACCCATTCAGATTGCCATGGATGCCCAATGCTGGGTTGCATTTCTCAGAAAGGATTTTACGTCAAAGAAAGAAGAAGCACTATAGAAGTATCCTTGCAGTCTTATACTGAGCTCTTTTTCGAAGGTAGTTAACGGGAAGGTAGTGGGGACTCAAAGACTCTCCCAAATCGAGAAAGGGATACCGAAATTTAGCACTTGTGAATTCCCTCTTAGCCAGTCCTCGACAAACAATTTCCCAGTATCATGTAATAGGAGCGTGAAGGCTGTAAAAAATCGAAAGAACTGAACTCGGTTGAAGAGTGAACCATTCAAATTGATTTGCAAGTTTTCAGGAATCCCTACGAATGACAAAAAAAAAACGGTTTTTTTTTTGAAAGAGAAACGAGCAAGTTTAACACGATATATTGTTGGCCCACCTGCTTATGACTTCGTCACCGGTACTCGCTTCGAAGAGGCAGATCTTCCGTTTTGTAATAAGCAGAGTAAGGAGGTGATTGGCGGTGATGTCGGCTTCGTACTTGCGGGGAAGCGGAGGCATGTTTAGTGTCGAAGCTTCGTTTGAAACATCCTAGAACACTATAATAGTAAAGATGAATCTCAAATAGCTGTTGTGATGCTGGGCAAAGAGAAAGTGGGAATCGGAGGGTCCTGGAAGTGCAGAAATAGCAGAAGATATGTCAACGATAACCTCCACCTCTCCATGGGGGGTGTGATATGTTTGACTCGTTCGTGATCCGTACAACAGCAAAGCAATGATGGTGGCGACAAGAACGAGAAATATGGCTGCGATACCTCCGGATAGTAGGATAACCCTCCATCTTGGAGATGAACGCTGAAATTACCCACCGTTAACCATTTGACGTGGTCTTGGGTTATGTTCACTTGCCTTTTTAGGGTTGTGTATGGCCAAATGGGTAGGTTTCGCTGGAGGAGGCACCGGTGGTAGCGCATTCACAACCTAAAATCGGGAATTTATAGATGAAATAAGCGATTCTACCCATAAGGATTCATTTTCAATCGCCTTCCGATCGGCTCCCGGGCTAGTCATTATCCATTCATCATCACTGTATCGAAGAATTTCGGCGCGACCTTCAAAAAGTAGGTTGTGAACCTAATTTTCGGGCATCATAGGCAACCGATAAGGACTTTCGGTTTGGTGGGAGCGAGCCGTTTCACTTAAGTTTGACAAGTAGTATAATATTGCTAGCCTTCGAAAGTGGTTTCGCAAAATTTTCTAGAAGTAGAAACATGTTGGTTCCCAAAGGGCAAGTCCCACTGGTGAATTCCGAAAGGAGTTTGACCTTGCACTTACCAAAAGGGACTCTCGAAATATAGTGCTAATTTCGTGCTATGATACGGTACAATAGGTTATCGTATCTGAGAGATTGTAGAGAATTGTAAATACCGAAGATCTTTCGTGCGAGAACTTTTTAGCAATAAATAATCAGTGAGAATTGGAATATGAGGAAAACGTCATTGTAAGATTTGCGAAAATTCGAAAAGTTTCGGGCTCATGGGAGCCGTTGATGAAGTTCAAAAATTTTAATTCATTCAATATACATAATGAACAGCGCAGAGGTGCTAAACAGCTACAGTTTGAAAAAATGACTCTATTTTATCACATGGCGAGTGTTCGGACCATAAAGAAGGATTAGAGGTTAGATGGATCAAATTATAAAGAGATTAGCCGGCTTACCAATCGGGAGTACAACAACGGCCGCATAGTATAAACAGAGATGAAACGGAATACAGACTCAAAGACGGAAGGGTTTTTCACCTGTGATCCTTGAGAGATGAGAGGACGTTGTAGTACTACTATAGACATCTCCTCGGACTCGATGGTTAGGGTGCGGTAGGAGGTCTGCGCACAGGTCGCATCCACTGCCTCGTCTTGGTTATCAATGGTTGCAGCCGTAATGTTGAAAGGGAATGAGAATGTCGAGTAGAATCAGGTGATTGCAATTTCAGGGAGAACGAATGCTTACAGCGAAGCAGGCGAAGCCAACTAGCGGGTTGGGTGGAGAAGAACTGCGAGAATGACGGCGCTCAGTGGGTGATATGATGAGCAATCCGAACGCTTTTTTCGCGACCTAGAGCGATTCTGAGGACAGCTGTCAAAGAAATAAATCAGTGTATAGCGTGACCCCAAGTAAGGTCATTACTGCCTTATCGAGACGTCACAATGTACCTTTGCAATGGTATCACTCAATAAATCTATGATTTTCAGTCGGCACATACAAAGCCTTCGTCTCTTTCTTACGCGGTGGAAGGCTGACTTTTTCTAGGTTCCTCTGGGAAAAATATTCTCAGCAACCCACTGCCTTTGATTTCGGTTCCACTAACCCCTTAGATGGATGTTTGTCGTGAGAACTAAGCAGCTTTCTGTTACTTTTTTCTAGCAAAGTCGAACTACCTTGAATTTCAAGAGTTTTTGTAATGACCCTTCGTTCACTTGACTTACTTCTATTGGAAATTGACAGGGATACTTCGAGATTAGTAGGCCGAATATTTCCTAGTATTTCCAAATATTTCCTATTTCCTAATATAGTCAGTCCACTTTGCAGAAACCCCCGCCTAATTCTACTCCTCTGGCTATTTCTCACTTGGTTTCCTCTGACTGGAAAAGTTAATTGAAATCCAGCGATCATCAGCCGAGAAAGCTCGTTTACTATTTTGGTCTCACTGAACATTTTGGTTCGTAAAAGTGAGTTCGACTATTTCCAATGGGAATAGTTATGGCACGCACTACCCACAAATGCATCGGAAGTCAGTATCCATGATGAATGAAAACTGAGATGAAAATGCGACAGAAGGATGGGGCAAATCTTTTCAAAAGTTCCGAAATAAATGAAGTGTGTTTACAACCGCAGCATCCGCTAATCTCAAAACAGTCTAAGAAATTCCGCAGTCACAAATTCATTGGAAAAGTGTGCGCTGCTTTCCTAAAATCTTACTGCAGGCAGGTGGAACCTCGAACTTTTATGCGCCTGCATTTACATGAGGAAGAAAATACGCGTGAATGGGCTTGATAGCGGCATGCTTCAGTTCATAAGTATAAGGTAAATAATGGCAGTTATTAAGGTCCATGTGAGACTGAAATTGGAACTGTTCTATTACAACTGAAAGGGAATGTTCAGGAGAGTCAGTTGAGAGGGTTGGAGCTATTTTCATCCCCTTCGTGGACTACAGTAAGCGATTTAAGGTACCGAATTTCACAATCCATCATAATGGCTCTGCCAGTTACACCAATTTCCAACTTCGCCGAAAGGGACTTAATAGCGCAAACCCTTGCTACAACTTTTCAGTTATTTTTCATTTTAGGCTTTTTTCTTTCTTTAAATTTCTATGCTACCGCGCTTTATATTTTAACTATAAATTCGAAAAATTCTGGTCTGAGAGAGCAATGTGACATAATCAGAACTGCTCCTTCTACCTATTACACTTTTTTTGAAACATGTTTGACTTGGGACTCTAATCCTATACTTAAACCCAAAAAGACACTGGGTCTCTTCCTTATCAGCTACCAACTGGCAAGTTAGAAATTGAAAAATTCTTTTGGATTTTTGAATGACTTTTGGAACAGAGTGGACAACGTTCGCCTGCAAAGAAAAACGAATAAAAGGAATGCTATTGTTTGTTTTATTTGAGCAAAGCTCATAGCTATTCAAAATCGTTTTTAGTGAGAAGCCAGTCACTGGACGACCACTACTCTAGTCATTATTTGTTTACTTTTTTCCCTAATTTTGCTAGATATCTTTACAGTTACACGAGGGTGAACGTACGATTCTTCTTGTACTGTCTGGTCGACTTGAATGACTGTCTCCCTCTCCAGCGCTGATTTCTCCATAAAAGTAGTCGGGATCTTCATACTCCTTAAAGAGAAAAGTGTTTCAAGTGCTTGAAAGTTTGAAGGTGGGCTACGCGCTGCTCTCTCCTGTCATTCTCACAGATTTTCGATACATTCAACGTCACTTACTCTTTGGGTTTCAGTCACCGTCTTGTAGTCTCCGCCATACTCTCGCATTCTGTAAAATTACTTCATTCATTGTGATTTCATGATGTGGACGATGAAATCCAAAATAGGCCATCCACGAGAATAAGAAAAGTCTAGACAAAGGAAGTAAACGATGTTCACGGAGACCGCCGAGCGAAAGTAATGGGTGACACTGCGAGGGCTCCTCTAATAAAGACGAAAAGGATTGAATTGAAGTTTTCCTCAAAATCTATGAAGTTCATTCGGTTGCAGTCTTTTCTAGAGAGCTCCCAAAACATACCTTCCCGGGATTGAGTGTTACGATAATGGCCAGATCCTTCAACTTCAATGCTTCGGCAATACATAAATGTCTATAATGTCGATAAGTTATCTATTAGGTTTTCCGGGATGTCAATTCAAGGTAACTTACGTAAAACTATGCAACGCTCCCGCTTCATTGCCATACCAAGCAACCGATTCCTACGATGGTGTACTGAGGTAGCTGCTACCCATATTTCCTGTTAGTTTAACTCTTATATATTGCTTTCGGGAACACAACATTGTTAATGTGACTTATCGCTCAGTAATCCCATGTTTACGGCCCTACTGGCGGAGGTGGTGTATCGACATGGGTTCACTATCACACACACACATGGCCCGGGTTCAGTTCCCGGTTCGATACTATTCTAACCAACAGGATCTTCTATCTCTCCGAGATCGGTCAGTTGGTACAAGATTCGACTGAGTGGATGAAAGGACTGACTTATACTTTGGCTGGCACACCCGGAGTATATCAAAAAAGCTGGTTCTTTTTGAGAGTCAAAGGCCTGTTGTTCAAAAATTATAATTGTTTCAAGCCTTTCCAGGAATATATGGGTCAACGTGAGAGAGGTTTGTCAAAATAGGAGCTATGTGAATTGCTCTAAATAAATATGTCACTTCCGCTGGATAGAAAACAAAAGCATTTGTGTTCGAAATAATAAGGCGTTCTAAGTGCTAAAAACAAGTGGCATCGCTATCACACGCATGTTTCGAAGTGCAATTCCCTCCTTGAATTATACAAAGCTCTGGTTAAGCAGTCCAGCATCCTTTCAGAGTCGGCTCGCTGGCATAAGACCCCTTCAACATGCGTAAGGAATGAGAAAAATAAGCCCAACGCCCAAAAAAATATAGCAGCATTGGTAGGATTTGTCCAGCCGATAGATTAATTCCAGCCACATTTTCTTACTTCTTCGGTGATGCAACTGTGAATATTCGACCTCCATCAGTTAAGTATATCTTTTCCTGCTTTTTTCTGCAAGGGATCACTCACCCCCCCCCCCCCCCCCCCCCCCCTCCTTTCCCCTGAAACAGTGAACTGAGGAATCGGTAGTGTTTTTCAAAAGGATAATAGGGACGGAAATGGCTGAGAAGGAGGAAGAAGTTGCATGCACACCATAGAACGACTATGACGGTCACGATGGATAGCCGGCTGCTGTCGGTTTTGTAGGACAGAAAACCATGTAAGATAGTGATCTAAAAGGTAGAGGAGACAGGCGGTGATCGGTTGGCGACGCGATAGCTTAGCGACCACACGGCTGCGCCAAACCCCATTTCCAAAGCAAGGCCGAGTCGATCGAGAGTTGTTTCCCATCGCTCACAATTGCTAATTCGCTTATTAGGAAGAGACGAGTGGACATGGTAGTGATGTAATCGCACGAATCCTTGCTGACCAGTGTGTTTCCCACTTTTTTTTCCCAATTTTTGGCATTCAATAGTTGTAAAAGAAGGGGCAGATTCTTTCTTCTTCTCATGCAACTCAGTCGTCAAATAACGAAAGCCCCACATAGTAGCAAATCAGCAGAACGACATTTCTTAGCGCTAGGCAGTCATCCAAGGCTAAATACCGAGACGACCTAATTTGTTAAGAAACATAACATGACTTGGGGTTGGGCTCAATCTAACATCTAACATGGTATTTAAATAGTGCTGAGGCTGAGAATTATACTGGAATAGTTTGTTCCTCCTTCGATCCAAAATCACAATCAGGGAGCCCGTCAGGGTCCCTGATGTATTACGGTTTTCTTTCTGTTTCAGTTGTCTGCAAATTTTCTTTGTGGCAGTTCTGCGCCTTTAGGGCAACGTATGTGTCGCTGAATGTAATTTTTACTCGATTAATGATTCAGGTTCTGAGTGTTCGTGCTACTGAATGAATTAATAAATGAATAAACTTTTTACCGAAATTCACCCTCCAAGTAAACGAAGTGATCGTGGATGTTCGCTCAACAGCATTTTTCGGAGCGCTGGCCTATCCCTTAAGTACCGTGGATTTCTACTAATAAGTTCAAGTAAGTGTGTGGGAAAATAATGATGCACTGCTATACTTCTGCTGTAGTTCATTTCCTAACAACTACTTGGTCTACGTCGAGTAAAATTTAGTCGCTTACTCCAATGGAAATCGGGTCTGATGGCTAATTCATCAGTTGAGTACCGGTTTTTCATTACTTTCCTTGAAAGCAGAAGCGCGTTCATTCGATATTGATAAGCTGCAAGTTGGCCAGTTTCACGTTCACACTTCGAATACAGTTCCTATTTCGACCAGAAATCCGTAGCATACTTTGTTTTGAATGCAGGGCGTTCAGGTAATAAAAGTTGTGATTGACGCTAACCGAAATTCTTGCAACTGTATTCACTCGCCTTAACACATCTAAATGAGGGGTTTCATAATTTCGCGGGAATGACAGCTGAAAATATCAGCAATTCACCAGAAACAAAAAGTAAGTCCACTAACCGCAAGTCTACTCACGCTACCGGCGCGATTGTTCATGAGGCTAGGTTTGGTACAATCTCTGCTCCTAGACTCCAATGCACTCCAGGACTGGACTGCACCAGATTGTGGAAGCAAATCCGTCACCCGGAAAAGGTCGTTTAAGTTACCAAGATAAGAAGATTAGAAAATCTCATGAAATCCGACACTCTTCTTGTCACGACCTTAGCGAAGGCTCCGACGGGAATTTGCATCGGCGATGGAGCCCCGCAAAGTCGCGGCTGTTGGATTTCTGGTGCCCACCGCACCTGAGGGTTGACGGGAGTGCGCCTGCGAATGCTCGTGGCGTTTTGCCTCTATCCTGCTGCGGGAACCGGTAGGGCCTTCCAACCCTCCAACAGAGCCAACGGTTGATGATCGGGACGGAAGAGACGAATGTCCGAGAAGAGTGAACAAATGGCGGACGTCTGGATGGAACGACTACGATGAGAGCCGGATGACTTGAAAAGAAGCGGAAGAGGATGACGGATGGAATACGAGGTATACCGATGTAGATATGACACGGTTATATTATACTCCTCATATTCTTCAAATAACACGAATGGACAAATACATATGTAATTGATCTTCTGCATATGAAGGTAAAGGCACGAACATGGCATAAAACTGGCATATAGGTAAAGTAGTAAGACTAATATAGTAAAGCATGGTAGTGTGATTAGAAGATGCGATGTAACAGTGAAGACGAACCATGGTACTATACAGGGTGGGCCAAAATTATGATTACAGCGCGCGCTGACGCTCATCGCGAATTTTTTCTGAGGGCATAGCAATTCGTCCGCTTTCTTCTATTTCACAAGGTAGTTTACATTATTACCTTCCTTATGATACTAGACTTTTGGTAGATTTTGGAAATAATGTAAGCGTAATTACCCTGTAAATCGTCAAATAAAGAAATCGTCACTTCGCATTTACAAGCACTTTTGGCACGATGCATCTACAGACGATTCAGCGTAACAAGGCAAAGGGTACATTCGATTATAAGACACTCCCGAGAGTTGGGAACAATTGCAGATAGGAGTGGTAAACCTAAGAGGCCTGCGGTAAATGAATGGATATCTCATGAAGTTTTCTGCGCGAAATCGTGAAGCAACATCTTCTTCAGTTCTTTCACCGTTTGGCTTGCAGAGATACTTGTCTTTTCGATGATTTCCCGCCAGTTACTGTAAGAATCTACAACAACCAAGTAAAATAGTCCAAAAACAGTTCTTGCGAAGTCGATGTGAATCCTTTGCCACACATAAGCTAGTGTCGACCAAGCTTCCAAAGAAGCCT